TTGTTTACTGGTGTTTGCTGTCTGCACACCCACCTCGATCAGCTTCTGGAGAGAAGGCTGTTGTGTCCCCCCTGCTCCCTCAGGGCCTGGAGGAGGGCTGTGTCCATAGTAGGTGCTCAGGATTTCAGTGAGTGCCTCTGACCCCACACATGGGTGGTCGGCCTTTCCCACTGCCCCCCAGGAAACCCTATTATTTGTCCTAACAACCCCAGCTGTTCTGTGCAACCACTGGAGTGGTCTTGCTCACTTGGTCCCACTGTCATCACTGAGGAGGAGAGTCCCCAGCCGATGAGGCTGAGGCCTGGAACTGCTGTGGGATGTGCTCAAGGTCACTCACCGGCCAGGGGCAGGCAGAGATCAAGAGGATGGGAATGGGAGGGGATGGCCAACAGCCAAGGGCTCAGCACCTATCAGGTAAGCCTGCCCCTGAAAAGGGCTTTCTGTGTGTCACATGTGCGGGGACACAGAGGGTGTGGTGACCCCCATCACCTGGAGGTGTATCTGTGATGCTGGATGCCTGTATACATGTCCTCAGCCGCAGAGCACACAGAGTACTCTTTCCGGGCCTTAGGGGCGAGCCTTTGTTCGCTGGACCCCACATCCCGTCATTCTGGCCATGCCCACAACTGAGCAGAGCTCTGGACGGGGAGCCAGGCCCAGCCAGGCCGTCTCAGGCCAGCAAAACCCATCCTACCAGGGCTGGGGGCAGCTGGGCTCCAGGGCTGGTCTAAGGGTAGTGGGGAGGCCCCCAGCTGAGGCTGAGGCATGAGGGCGCGGCTCCTGCCCAGCACAGCGTCCTCTCCAGAATCTAAAGAGAATCCCCCAGAGACAGAGCCCAGATCCCATGGCAGGCCCAGCTGGAGGGGCCTGGTGGCCTTGGACCAGGTCCTGACCTTCTGTGGGCTTGACCCCCCAAGGCCATGGGGAACCCTGGAGAGGAGACCCCGGTAGGAAGAGGGAGAGGCGTCCCTGCCCTCAGAAGCTGAGAATGAAGCCCTGGGGGGGTCCAGCAGGATGCGGCCCACTCACCCCCTGGCGGCCCGGGCCTGAAGTACAGCTCCAGCCACCGGGGAGCCAGGACCTGGAGAACCCCACGCCAGATGGTCCCGGGCAGCCCACAGGGTCTTTGAGGCCTGCTCCCCCAGAGCTCAGATGGGGCTCCAGAAATGCTTGGCAGACGTCACAGAAGGGCCCCAGGCTTGGAACTCGTCTGTGCACCCCAAACCTCACTGTCAAGACTCTTACAGAACTTCAGCCACCTGTTCTGGCCTCCCACCTGGGAATTTGGGGACCTCACCCCACTCGTGTGGACACCATGCGAACTGGGAACCTGAGGGGCATGGGCCACCTCAAACTCACTTGGCATAGCACCACACACATGGCACCAGGCTGTCCCCAGCTAGCACTACCAGTTCCCAGAGGTCACTAGATCCCAGGTGGACAGCAGGGAGCACCCAGAGCTGCCCCAGCTGGGCTCCAGGGGCCTCAAGAGGTCAGAGGCAAAAATCTACTTGGCCCAAGGCTGTGCAGCAGCTCTAGGAGGGAAGGAGCCTATCAGGGAGCCCAGGAGAGCACTGGCACACCTGGAACGCCAGGGTCAAGGTCTTGTCACTCAATTAGTGGGGTCAGTCAGAAACCAGAGGCCTGGAAGCTCAGAACTTGGAGTGGCTGAGCTGCTCAGCAGCGTTATAGGTGCCCAACCTGGTCAACAGCAGAGGGTGAAGGCTGAACCACACAACTCCAGAATAAAGGGGCCCAATGGCTTCACCACCTGAGCTCAGTGTGTGTTCACAGGAGTGATGAAGCAGCACCTTCCTCAGTGTACTGTGTCCCACAGATCCAGGTGCTTCTGCATGGTACCCACCCCCTAATGTGTTGATGGCGGCTACAGGTTAGAAAAGAACCTCACTCAACAGGCCACAACTGGAACCCAATCCTATGTGGATTAGTGACATTATTCTTACACTCAATACTGCCAGGGTTGGCCCTGCCATGCCCATCAGCAACTCCAAAGGCAACAGGGAACATTAAATCCTCACAGCCTGCTTCCTACTGTGCTACCACCCAAGCTGTGCAAACACAACTGACGACCTCTACAGCAGAGAGCCAGCTGCCTCACCTGGGTGACACAGCTGCCAAGCCTGCTGCCCTGGGGTGTACTCTGACAGCCATGGGGCAGACCCCAGCTCAGATTTTAGCTCCCAGTACACCCAATCTGCTCTAGGCACAGAACCAGACAAGTGCTATGGGAAAAAGGAAACCCTTAGCTAAGCCCAGAGGCCAAAGGGAACATCTCAGAGTAAATACACGCTCCTATGGTCACAGTGAAAGCAAACAGAACTGGGAAGCAAATTAGAGGCAGAAGTCGCTGGAAAATAATTTTTATTGAGATCCCACCAGCTGCACAATCTGGTCCTGACATTAAGCTCCTTCTTCCTTTGCAATTCGATCTTTCTTAAGTGGTCCCTGCAGAGAAAGCACAGTCGGCAAGGTGAGAGGGAGAGAGCACCTGGGCACAAATACCCCACCCCCAATTGGCTCCCTGGTGCAGACATAAACAAGCTCAGGACCCCCAGGAGCCAGCCCAGCTTTGCCTTCCGCACTAGCAACCAGATGGGCAGGTGGCAAGCTGATGGGGCCCACTGCCCAGGAGTCATCCCAACCCCAGGCCAAGGGTGGCAAGGGAGAGGTGCTTACCATGAATGCTTTCTTCTCCTCCACAGTCTGGAATCGGCCGTGGCCAAACTTGGAGGTGGTGTCAATGAATTTCAGGTCAATCTTCTCTAGGGCACGCCGTTTGGTCTGCACCAGCAAGGACTATAGGCCAAAAAAGCAAAGCTTAATTACGAAGTGCCAGGCCTTCCTTCCCCACACATCTTGGCTTGCAGGCCCCTCAACAGAGCCCAGAGAGGACCAACAGTGGGTCTCCATTGGGCCCTCCAAAGCCTAGAGCAACCCCCTCCCGCAACACCTCTAGGCCAGCTGGTTTGCCCAAGATGACCCCTGCCTGACGACTGAGCAGGAAACACGAAAAAGCAGAGGCAGACAGCTATGCCAAGCCAGACTGGGAACTTCCTCCTCCGAGGACTTCAAAGCTGCTTTCCGAGGAATGGCAAATCCCCTTTTCCTTTGAACTCCCCTCCCGAGTGTGGTGCTATGCTCCATGTCTGGGAACGCTCCATGCTCCCTCTTCAGGATGGCTGAGCACTGCTTGCCTACACCCCACCCACCAGGAAGGGGCCGCAGCCTCACCTTACGCAGAGTCAGCACTCGCTTCTTGGTGCCCACCACACAGCCTTTCAGCATCACAAAGTCATTGGTCACTTCACCGTAGTGGACAAAGCCACCCTGGAGAAACCAAGGCGTCAGGTCAGGTCATGCACGGGGGTAGAGGTCAGTCCGACACTACACATGCCGCCCCTGATGACCATGGGGCTGTTCTCAGAAGGAAGGCAGCAAGGAATGTTTCCGCAGTCTGACTCGGGCGCTGCGCCCAGCGCTCATTCCAGAGCCTCATCACCGAACAGCTGGGTCAGAGACCTCCCACAACCAGTTGACCCAAGTCTTGCCGTTTACAAGGGACAAACAGTTGGAAGAGATCTGCGCACAGGACCAGGGATCAGTTAACACAGCCTCCATGCGCTACCCAGGACCTGAGAGCACCAGGGTCGCACCTCACAGGTGAGACACAGAGCAATTAGTCCCTAGGAATGAGGGGGAATTCCCCCACAAGAGCCAGGGCTTTGGGGGCTCAGAAGACCGCGCAGGCTACTCACCAGGGGGTTGATGCTCTTGTCAGACAGATCATAATCGGTGGAAGCGTTGTTCTTGATCAGCTTGCCATCCTTGATGAGATAGCCCTGGCCAATCTTGTATATCTAAAGGAAAGGAACGTTTTCACACTGGAAGGGGGAATACTCAGGTGTCCCTAGGCAGGCTAGCTGCAGGAAAGGACAACCAATGCAGACAAGTGGCATCAAACCCAGCAGCAGGCTAATCTGCCAAGGACTCTGGAAAATATCTACCAGTCCTAATGACGGAGTACCCCAGGCTTGGGGCAGAGAGCAAACCAGCTGGGCTGAGACACTACCATCTGATGGAAACAAAGCCCAGGGGTCTCCCCAAACCCTCCGTGGCAAAGGCTCTCAACCCAGGGCACTCCGGAGGTCAGCTACACCAGAGCCACCTTCAATAAACTGCACCTTACAGATCACACCCAGGAACCAAAAACCATGCCCATCAGAAAAGATGAGCAGCTCAAGTGCATATGCATTCCAGAAGCTCCCCTACCAACTGAGGAGTGCTATTCCCAACACCGGCCTAGTCTTTCCCTTCTCAGCGTCAAGGGGAACTCCCTCCTTGGCACCTCACCTTCTTGTTGATCTCAGTGCGGTGATGGTAGCCTTTCTGCCCAGCTCGAGCCACAGAGAAGGCCACTCGGGCAGGATGCCAAGCTCCAATACAGGCAACCTTGCGCAGGCCCCGGTGGGTTTTGCGGGGTAGCTTCTTGGTGTGCCAGCGGCTGGTGACCCCTGAAAGAAACACAAGCTTGTTTCAGGCTGTCTGGCACTTGTGCCATTGGCCTCTTTCCTGTCATAAGCACCCAATGTGAGTTCATGCATTTGTGGTGCTTGTATATGAACATTCAACACCTACTAACTAGATCAGTTGGAGGGACAGGTGGGTCTAACATACGTTACCCTCAAATACCCATGTCCTTCCCCTCCTCTCACATTTCCTCAGGTTTATCGCCTGCCTAGACATAAACCTGTTCTCAAACCTGTAACAAAAGGTCTTGGGAGAATTAGCCCAGAACTAGAATGGGAACACGTGCACTTCACAGCATCCAGCAAGTTCCTCACTAGCAGAAGCCAGTGAGGGGGACCCAATTTCCAGGTCCCCTCTGCCTTCTGCAGTGGGCTGCATGTGGCAAAAGGGTTCTTAAGTATGGCCAGAATTCTCTCCCAGCCCTCTGTATTTCCCTCCCACCTGGCCACAAGGCTGTTCTCAGAAGGCAGGCAAGGAGACAAATTCCTGCACAATCTTACTCCAGCCATGTGCCAGTGCTTATCCCAGAGCCTCATCACCAAAGCTCCAGACATGAAAGCCCTGAGTTTTATGGCAACCTGGGCCATCACAAACTCACCTTTGTAGCCTTTGCCCTTGGTGACACCGATGACATCAATCATCTCATCTTGCCCAAACACCTGGTTCACAGGCACCTGCTGCTCCAGCCTCTTACGGGCCCAGTCGAGCTTCTCGGCCACTGTGCCTCCGTTCACCTGGATCTCCATGAGGTGGGCCTTCTTCTGGCGCAGAGGAAGCAGGCGCATCTAGGAGGGAACCAATACAGCTCAGATCCCTGAGCTTCGAGATCTTCCTCAGGGTGGGCAGAACAGTTTGGCAACCTTGAACCTCATGTTTCCCCATTGGCAAAAATGAAGCCGCCTTCCTGTGTTAACTCCCCATTGGGTACAAGTCCCCTTTCCAACTCATACACTGTGGGAAAGTGGAATAGCACCTCGGTCAGAATAGAAACTGCAAAGATTAAGGGAAAAATATTCAAGCCTAAAGCTTTTCATTAAAGGTGGCCCAGTGCTGTTCTATAGGATTTTCTTCAGAAATGGTCATATTACAAATCTGAGCTGATTCAGTCATTGCTAACCCCAGGGAAACTGAATCCTTGGGAAAAAGATGTAAACCTAGAATGACAGCTCAGATCAACTGTACAGGAAGAAATAGTCATTCTAACCCAGTCAGGCAAAGACTTATTCAGTTCATAGCAAATAAGATTTTCAGGGGGAAATGACAAGTGTCCTCCTCCGGACTCCTCTCAGCTATGCATTTTACAGTTAAGGAATTCTGCGTTCCTTCAACCACTTTTCCTAAAATGGGGCACGGCTTCAAGACTAGAGACACACTGCCCTCTGCTGGCATTAGAAAAACCAACCCACAAGCCTGGAGGCACCACAGGCTTCCTTCTCAGACCAACTGTCTTAACCCGGCCCCAGAAATCAGGGGCAGGGCAGGTGCTGCACTGTGCTGCTGTGGAACTTTGAGCAACCCCCAGGCTGCTTACTGGCCCACGCATCCAGACTTTAAATCCCAAGACCACACAAGGTGTGAGAAAAGGGATCAATTCACAGCAGGTAACAAGGTGCCATCTGATACCCCAAGCTGTGGGGCAGTCACCTTCCTTCTGTGCACCTTGTGGAGTGCTCACCTGGGTGTGGGCGATGACACGGATCACCTGGCAATACTTCTTCATGCTGTTGAAGTCCTTCTCCAGCTGCTTCTTGCCATCGTCATCCTGCCACTTCTTGCAATATTTGGTGAAGGCCTTCTTCTTAGACTTATGCCTTCAGGAGCAGAGCAGAGTTGGGGACGGGTGCAGGCCTTCATCACCCCTCCAAAGGGGCGAGCGGAAGGCACACTGGCACCACATGGGGATGGGGCTCATTGCCGGCTTCTAAGGAGCCTTTTCCACCGGCAAGCGGAGCCTGGATGGAGCTCATCGGGCAGAGCCGAGCGGAGCTGAGCAGAGGTCCACAAAATTAATGCAAGTCACAAGTGTTCAAATACACACTAATTCTTGCTCCGGCTTAGCCATTAACCCAACCACACTCCTGGACAGAAGGACTGGGGAGTGTTACACTGCACCCCTCAGTTTCTAAACACCTCCCAGCAACTAAGAACACTGAATACCAAGAGTCCTCACCCAACACCTAACACTAAGCTGAACGTGAAGGTCTAGAGGTGCTGCTCAAGGTCTGCCCTCACGATTTGTTCTGGCAACTAAACCAGACACCAGAGCAGCTCTTCCCCACCAGAGTGAAGCCCAGCACAGCGTACTCACTCTCCTCATCCAGAGTGCACGGCCTCCTTGTCCCTTACCAGTTCTTATAGAAGCGCCTTTTGCATTCGTCACTGATGTGCTCAGCAAAGATGGTCTTAAAGGTACGGAGGCCTCGAGGGGTTTCCACATAGCCCACGATGCCCACAACCACCATGGGTGGGGTCTCCACAATGGTCACAGCCTCCACCACTTCCTTCTTGTTCACCTCTGCCAAAAAGAGTGGTCAGACTTGAGTGGGACGGCTAAATCCCCAACAAGCAATAAGCGTTTTGCAGAAGTGTGAAATCCCCATCTGGGTCAAGAGTGCCACCAGCTTCAGCTAGCAGGGGACTTTTCAGAAATGGGGTCCTTACAGGCCATCTAGACTCCCAGGCTTGCCCTTACTCCATACATTAGAAGTCATGATCCCAGGGTCCGGGGATTGGGCTCCCTCGTCAGTGGGGAGTCTGCTTTATCTCTCCCCCTGCTCACTCTGAGCACTCTTTCAAAGGGTTAAAAAATTTACTCGTAACGCTGATTTCGGCACATCCCCCCACCTAAAGCAACAACGCCAGCCACCTGCAGTCTTTAGTGTTAATCAAACCCCATGGAGATTCCCATCCCGTCAAGTCTGCCCTCTCCGGACTACCGTCCAGGCCACCCCCAACCAGCGTGAAGGATCCCGCTTGTACTCACTGGATCCTGGCCGGTCCACCTCCCGCACGATGTGAGTCATGCCGGCCTTGTAGCCCAGGAAGGCTGTGAGGTGGACAGGCTTGGAAGAGTCATCCTTGGGGAAGCTCTTCACCTTCCCACGGTGGCGGCTGCTGCGTTTCCGAGGCAAGAAGCCCAGGGACCCGTGCCTGGGAGCGGAGAACTTCCTGTGGGACTGGGAGAAAAGAGAACATGAGCACTCCCAACCCCTCTTATGTAGCTCCCTCCTGATGCCCGGCTTGCCTCAGTGGCGAAGGGTTCTCCCCAATGCCGAGCCCGCGCCAGAGGCCCTGCGCCCCAGCTAACAAGTGTGCTTACGTGCTGGACTGGGTTCACCTTGTACAAGGCCGTGCGGCCTAAACTGAATCTTTACCTCAAAACCTCATTTTGTAACTTTAAGATGGAACCTCCCCTTCTCCAAATGGGTCAAAAGCACACCAGGTGAGGTCATTAAATCACAGGTGCCTCTGCCGTCGAGTCAGCCCAGATCCTGACAAGGGGGCTGCGGGGACCAAGAGGAGGGCAGCAGAGGGCACCACAGGCTCCCCGCCGCCCCAGACACGAAGGCCACCACAACTCGACAGAGCCAAATCAGAACGTGACAATCAGCACAGAGGGTCTGTCCGCCCGTCAGAAAGTTCATCATCTGTGGCTCCTAGGACTCGAGGCCTCACGGGTGGTACCAGCCTCCCACGCAGGTCAGCGCGGGGCCGCGGCAACCCCAGCCCGGGCTCCCCTCCCACGTGCCGACACAAGCCCAGCGCCCCGACTCAAGGTCCTCCCGGCCCGCCACCTACGAACTCCAGCTTACACTAGCACCAAGTCAGTGAGCTCGAGCCCCAGGCACTATCCGGGACTCGAGGCCTCCATACCGGAGCCCGCCCCGCGGGCTTTCGCCAGCCGCCTGGCGGGCCCAAACCAACCACAAGCCTCACGCGTTTTCAGAAAATAGGCCTCACTGAGGATCGCGCTAAGCGCCCAGTGCTCCTGGAGCAGGCCCCCGGCCGCCGCCGAGGTGAGATGGCGGCGCTGCACCGCGGATTGAGCCCCACCGCCGCGCCAACGAGGAGGAAACCGCCATGAAACGTACCATCCTGCCGCCAAGTGCAGCCGGTAGAGGTCGGGCCACGAACGACCAGTCATTTATATAGCCCGGCCTGGGCCCGCCCCTTCCGGCGTACGAGCGCGCGCCCGCGGGGGACGCTGGGTCGGGGGGCGGGTGCAGGCCGCCATTTCCACGCTCGCTCGTCCGCGCTCGTCGCCTAGCGTTTGTTTCAGAGCGGGACGCCGTCCGCGGGGGGCGGGGATTAGAAACTACGGCAAGCGGCTGGGTTCAAACTTCGCGAAGCGTCGCGGAAACGCCGGCAGAGCTTTGGAGCGCGACGACTGTAGGGGTCTGGGTAGCTGCCAAATTTGGTCGAAGACGCCGTTACGCTGAAGCTACGCGGCTGCGTCTTTTTTCCCGTGAGATGCAGTCACCTCTAGGATTGGATAACCGGGCTGCGGGTTTCAGTGCCAAAGCGCCCGCACACGCCTCTCGCGTTTCCGTCCCACGCAGCAGATCTGCGGTGTTGCCGTTTGGCGGGCACGCTGAGCTGGGGCGAGCTGCCCCGCTGCCACCTGCTCAAAGTTGGAAAGAAAAGAGCGAAAGCCCGGTTTCCTGGCTCCCAGCCCAAAGCTGCTTCCCCGACACCCAACCTGCCTTCAGTGCGTTCTGATTTCGGACGTGCGCCCCGGAGCCCCATCTCGGCCGCTGCTCCCGGTGTCCAGCTGCTGTGGTCCTGCTTCTGGGGTCGCTGTGGCGCCTAAACGACCTCAGGACCTGCGGTGACGGGTCCAGCTGCCCAGCCCCGGAGCCTGGCCCTGCAGCCCCAGGGACCCTCGCAGGTGTCGCTTGCGCGCCCGCCCCCACGCTCTCCCACCCGCGTGGCCCAGGAGGCTCCTAGGCGTTCTCCCTGCCCCCAGGCTTGCCTTTCCAAATCTTTTTAAGAATCAAATGTCGGGATCCCTGGGTGGCGCAGCGGTTTGGCGCCTGCCTTTGGCCCAGGGCGCGATCCTGGAGACCCGGGATCAAGTCCCACGTCGGGCTCCCGGTGCATGGAGCCTGCTTCTCCCTCTGCCTGTGTCTCTGCCTCTCACTCTCTCTCTGTGTGACTATCATAAATAAATAAAAATTTAAAAAAAAAAGAATCAAATGTCATCTTGTTACTTCGCATGGCTCCCTGTCGTTTCCTTGGGATGAGGCATTAACTCCTGAGGCTGCCACCCTGGGCTCTGTCCTTTATTTTATTTTATTTTTTATAAGACTTAATTATTTATTCATGAGAGAGAGCGAGAGAGGCAGAGACTCAGGCAGAGGGAGAAGCAGGCTCCCTGTTGAGAGCCCGACGTGGGACTCGATCCCGGGTCTCCAGGATCACCTGGGCTCTGTCCTAACTGGCTACCCCTCCACCCTTTTTCATGTAGGAGAGCACGCGTGCACACACTCTTTCCCACCTATCACCTTGCACCTCCATCCCCCCCTTTTATTTGATTCTTGGGCCT